TTAACCCTTTCGCTACGGTGATTTTTTCTGAGAAATGTGATTATGGTCTTATTTATTATAATAAAAAGTCAGATATTCTTATTTATAAAAAGTAAAGCTAAAGCCTTTCTATAGTTTTTTATCCTTCCTTTATGTACAAAGGATAATACAAATGACAAATGTTATAACACGCCGTCATAACTCTTTTTTATAAAAACTTTTTAATCGCTAGGAAAAAACTCTGTTAGTATAAAAGTGGGCGCCTATAGGCGCCCACAGTAGCCAAGGGGTTAATAATTCAAAAACGAAGCTTCGAATCCTACTTTTGCAAAGGAAATCTTATTCAGAATTACGTCCTCTACCACCCTTTTCCGGGAGTTACACAAGTTGTGAGACACCCTGTATACTTAACTCATTAAATTTTTGTTTAATTTTCATGTGAAACGTTCAATATTTTGTTATATTAAATACATATGAATTTAAAAAAATAAATTACATAATTAACTTGTTCTTTGATTAACTTTATGAAATTAACTTGCGATTATGCATAATGTATACCATGAAATTACCACATTTCAAAAATACAAAAAAGCATTCAGAAAGTAGCCCAATAAAATTTTTTATAATTCATGTACAGTAAATGAAATAAAATCAAGAATAACTGTAACATAAAAATCCAAGTGCAAAGTATTAAGATTTTTTTTATAAGTAATAATCCATTATTATTATTATTATTATTTTAAATTATTGCTTGAGTTATTAATTGTAATTGCAATTCTAATTAAGTAGATGAAAATAAGAAACTAAGCACATAAAGTAATAAGTTATAATTATTACTAATTCTCAAATTATGTTGTTTGGTATGTAATCTTTTTCAATCGATGAATAGAACTTTTCTACTTTTCTGTCAATAAAGAAATTTTTCATTACTCCCTAAAAGCCATCTGTCATTAAAAATTTGCTTGCCATAAGTCTATAGAATTGTAATCAATTTCGATTATCATATGCAATAAAATTTATAATTTTTTTTAAAAGGATTTTAAATAGATATATAAGATATATTTAAAAATTCTTTAAATTAAATTAAAATTACATTTTGGGAACCTTTAAAAAATACAAATACAAAAAAATTTAATTGTGATAAATGATCTGTTTAATCAATTACTATTATTGAATTTATCTGTTTTGTCAAATAACAGAATGTAAAGAATGTGTTTCTTTTTTGCTCTACAAGTGAGGTAAACGAAGACATTCAATCAATTACTCTTATTGAATTTAACTTCTCTATTAAATGAAAGAATGTGAGAAATGTTTCTGTTTGTTTTTCTTTGCAAACGAGATAAACGAAGGCTTGTTTAATCAATCACTGTTAGTGAATTTAATTCCTGTGTTAAACAAAAGATCGTATACATCCAATCGAACATTTGATTTCTTTAAAATTATGAATGTAACTATTTCAAAATTTGTCGACACGCATTTCTAAGAAATACTTACCGATTTTAAACTCTTCGAAAAAGTAGGTAGTTAAATACAAAAGAGAACTTATAGTCGGAAACAAGCGAATTGCTTTTACTTATCACACCAGCGATACTTATCAGATAAAAGCAGGCAAAAGCTACAAACAGGCAAGAATTCATATCTCAGCGGTCATAATATTTATCTGTGTTTCATTTTCTCCGTAGCTATTCAAATCTGGCTTCGAAGGACAGAAAGTCGTGGAAGCGAAGGAACATGAGTGGGACTTAGTAACAGACTGTGACAAAAAAATCGAGGAGTTGTTAACTAAAGGCCTGAAAGAGAAATATCCCGATCATGAGTGAGTCACCAACTGATTTTTATGAATTAGCAATACGTAGAAATTTTAAACAGCATTACAAATTTTTTAACGAGACAAAAACGTTTTCGGTGCATGAGAATTGATCACGTTCCAGCGAACAAACGAAACTATCTTTTCGCAACTGTACCATTTCCTTATTTTTCTATAATCTTAATTCGAGATATAAGGTGAACGCACCTACAGGGTGTCCACGCCTAAGTGTGACAGCGATATTTCATGAACTATTGATGTCACGAAAAAGTGTTTATATGGAAATTGCAGGGTAAAAGAGGCAGAGTCAAACATGAGGCACTTACCGCAACAATAAAACTATTTTTATGACTTACTACTCAAATCGTGACGTTTCTGCTGAAAATCAGTAAATTTCTAAGCGTTATATCTCGAAAATTAATAAAAATCAAGTAAATATATTAAACCTTGATGAATTTGTCTTGAAAAGCACTATCGCCTGATCGAAAAAAAAATATATAGTTCCATTTAAAAAACGAAACGTTACCATCATATCGTTTACATTAATAACATTAAACAAATTTTGCTTATGCCAAAACATAGAGCCCCTTTTACCCTGCAATATAAACACTTTTTCGTAACTACGAATAGTTCATGAAATATTGCGCTGTCATACTTAGGCGTGGACCCTGTATTAGCAGCTGCGTTTCAATTATTAGTTACCCAATGTTTCATTTTATGAAAAATTATGAGTAAGATTTATTATCATTTATTTACTATTATTTCGATAATTATCTTTAAATTGAAGTGTCCATTAGCAAATATAATGGAAATTTTAGGATAAATTATTAAATGCATACCTATTTCTAAAGTCATCAGTTACATAAAAAAACGTAATATACTCTAGTCATAAATAATAACTAAACAATAATTTGTTTCAATTAATAATAAAATATGTAATTAACAGTGTAATTAAAAAGAAAACATTTTCATTTATGTAATTATAAAGTATTGTGATGGCCAATAAAAGGGACATGAGACCAAGTAATTTTCAATAATAATTATGAAAACAATCATTATTATAATTGCAAACTGATTTACATAGATACTTAGAGGAAGTAACATTTATGCTAATAAAAAATGATTACTTTTAAATGATCATATTCTTACATGTTCAATAACAAGGGCATACACAGTGGGTGACTAAATTATTAAAATTACTGAACTATACTCCGCATATTTTTTTTAATATACAATAAAAGCAACTTTAATTAGTTTAACAATAGTCATTAATATAAAATAATTTACATATTTTAGAATAAAAGGCGAGTATGGATATAAATGTATTTTAATTATTCTATGTTTCGGCCTTCTGTGACTAGTTGAAAACCTTGACTTCAATTTAAACGACGCTATAGTCGATAGGTGTTAAATTTTTACGTATTTAGAACTGTAAATAAAAAGTGTAGACTGACGAAATATTAAATACTTATATTTTCTTGTATACTATATTGTTCAACTTATTTTTAAGTGTACACTTTTACAATTAACTACGTGTGTTGTTAATAGTCAGCAAGTGACAGTGAACGGCAGATTCGATGAGTAAGAAACGTGTAAAGTATTGTCCGGTCTAAGTTTTTCACATCAAGGTTGATGTTAAAATTTGGAAGGTTGGAACATTTAAATATTTTAGTTGAAGAACTTAATTAAAATTTCTCAAAATATTTTATTATACTAAAATTTATTCTACTTATCTTCAGCAGTTCGAAACCCATACATGTTTCTATTCGTATCAGAAATTTCTTTTCCATATTTATCAGAATGTCTATTACAATGTTTTCACACACAATCTGAATTCTGTTCTTTAAATCTACTATGCTTCTTTTTGCAACTTGTGTTGTAAAATTCAAAATTATTAACCAGTTGACTATGGCGATCTTTATGCAAAGCGCACGTTAGTGTGTGTCGCGATACTCAAGCAATGACGAGTTAGCTCTCAAGAATTTGTGAATCCATCTCAAATCATTTACACTTTTTATTTGTTTATTTCATTTTGTGTTGACCTCTAAACATTTTAAATAAATTACAATTTACGAATACAATTTAATTTTCGCCAAAATTACAATTTAAACATCAAATTGTAACAAAATTTTACGCATGACGAACATAGTCGTTATGATACAAAATTCTGCCACATTTCCATAACGGATATAGTCGTCAAACACACTTAACTGGTTAAAGATGGAAATATATTTACTCCTATCTGTCGGTTGCCCTTACGAAGAGAAATTCATGACATCACCCTTGATGCGGAAAACTTAGACCGTAATACTTTCCACTGTTATTCTTTGGACCTGTTCGACCATAAACCCCTGCTATGTATCAGTTTTGGTAAGCAGAGTTAAAGATGCAGCACTTACCGCAACAATAAGACCGTTTTTAAGACTTAATGTTCAAATTGAGACTTGAGCTGCTAAAAAGCAATCAATTTCTAAGCGTTATATCTTGAAAACTAATAAAAGTCGGATGTACAGTATTCACTCCGTAAATGTTACTTTTGCCGGTCTCGATTGTAACATTTACAGTAGAGGTCCTACATTTTTTGTAGTGTGCCGAACATAGCGATACAAAAGACAAGGAGGGATAGAGTTTCGAGCGTTCGGCAAATATGAAAGACTCGCGCGTGTTCTGTCTTTTAAATTTAAAAATCAAAATTCCTTATTTTTGGTTTTTCGTGGATGAAACTTTGATTATCGTATTCGTCTCGTTTTTCTGATTAAAATGGTACCAAACACAGTATAATTAAAGTCATAATTACTTGTATAGCAAGCCTTTAGGAGGAATTCGCACCTCTACCGTAAATGTTACATCCCAAACTTTTATGGCTTGTTACATAAGTATCTCTGCCGTAAATGTAAAGTTTGCCGTAAGTGTGAAAGCCCGAAATTTTTATAGCTTGTTAAAATAAGTGATTACGATCGTAATCATATTGTGTTTGGTGTCATTTTAATCAGAAAAACGAGACAAATACGATGGTAAAAGTTCCATTGACGAAAAACCAAAAATAAAGAATATTGATTTTTGAATTTAAAAGACAGGACACACACGAGTCTTTCATGTTTGCCGAACGCTTCAACCTTCTGCCTCTCTTTCTTTTCCATTCGCCGTTCTCTTTTATGTTAAAAACTTTAATCACTTGTTACACACGCAATTGTTAACGTAATTATATCATGTTTGGTGTCATTTTAATAAGGAACATTAGACAAATACAACAGTAAAAGTTTCATGAAAAAATAGTAAGAAATAAGAAAGTTACAATCTTTTCCTTTGCTTGCATTAGTATGTGTCTCAC